AAGGGTCTCAATCAGTTGTTTCAGTTTAACTATTTCTTTGCTGAAAGGGAGTGTTCAGTCTCATTGGGCATAGTACATTTAGAAATGACTGGATTTTTAATTAATAAAACAAATACATACATACCCCTAAAATACTTGGTTTTGTTTTTGAATCAGTGTTATTTATTAAATTACAGAGAGGAAAAAGAATTCCTATTAGCTTATTTTAATGAATAGAATCAGCTACTAACCTAAATAAAAGCCAACCACAAACTATCATTGTTTAACTCAAAATGAGTGCACTTTTATTTTTTTTGGCAAAGAAGCCTGGTTTTGAAACAGTACAGCACTGGCAACTAAAAAAAACAGTAAGTGAATGCACAGGTCTAGGACTACAAGGAATATTTAAAAGCTAAAATCTAAGTTATACAGCGTAAAAGATGGAACAGAAAAACCTGAGTACATAAGTGACAGGAGACAAAATAAATTCTCTGCATTTCAGAAGCATAATGCAACATGATGACTGAAGTATTGGAACAAAAAACTGCTATTGTTTACAAATTAGAAATCCTTCATTCAAAAAGCACTTATTGAACACCTTCTATGTGTTAGGTTTACTGATAGTCACTTAGGATAAAAAGACAAAAAAATAAAAATCAAGGACCTTGGGGGAGAGGGCCTGGTGCAGAGGAAGGGAGAGGAGGAAGAAGGGAACAATGGAAACACCAAGAAGGAACAATAAGTTACACGGAGTAAATACAAAGTAATTTCATAGGGGATGGCAATAACATCTGGGGGAATCAGAAAAGGCCACTGTTACCAGGTGGGACCTGTGCAAATCTTGGAAGGAAGTTAGAGATTCTATGAGTAAGTGAGAAATGATAGCATCCCAAGGATGGCTGTGCAAAGACACAGGAAGAAGGTGATGGAATGTCATGTCTGGGGAACAACCAGTAGGCAATATACTGGAGAGTAGATGAGAAAGTATGATGGACAGTAAGTCTGGAAAGATTGGTCAAAGCTAGATTTTGAAGGGCTTTAAATGTCAGACAGAGGAGTTTGTATTTCATCCAAAAGAACAGAGGGAGCCCCAGAAGCTTGTGGAGCAGCTTAGTAACATGTAGATGACAGAAGAGAATGTAGGCAAGGAATCCAATTAGAAGAGTATTACAACTTTCCAGGCAAAAGATGGTAAGTGCCTGAACTAGAGAGTTGCTTGTTTTGGCAATGAAAAGGAAACTGATATGAGAGATAACATGACTCAGAATTAACTGCACATTTTTCTTCTTTCCCCACATCAAGAAAATGGTAATATTGCTGTTTGTATAATGTCACTATAATATTTGTGTAATTCATCACTTCCTCTCCATTCCTGCATCATTGGTTATTTAATACTATTGTTCTACTCTAACTCTGTTACTGATACTCTGGCTTCCAAATACCCTCTCCCTTATCTCTCTCACCTACCACTTTAACCTCATCAATTTTTCCTAGCTAATTAAGGAAAATTAAAAAAAAAAACCCTGCTCCTGGCTTTCTTTTACCTGCTGCCAGGTTTAAATCATCTACATTTAGTGTGAAGATCTGTGCCCCTCTCCCCCTTCTAAATTCAGTAACAAATTGTCAGCTTATTCCTGTTTGTTCTTCCTATCTAGAATAACCTCCAAGTTGCCTCGAAGCACCATGGATATGGTGGAGATCTTAGAGATTACAGAATCTTCATAGGATCATGGATTTAGAGCTGCAAAATACATCAGAAATCATCCAGTCCAACCCACTTGTTCTCATGTGTGGGAACTTTGTCCCAGTAAGGGTCTTTTGTGTAAGATCACATCTCAAGGAAGAAAAAGAGAAAGGATTTGAATTTCCATAATTAAAAATCCAATGATCTTTTCATTGTGCCACATAATAAATTTCATGATTTTTTAGATGAGGAAATAGAGGCCCAGAGTGTTAAAGTGACTTGCCCAGGATCACACAGCTAGATAGTGTCAGAGCTCAGAACTAGAACACAGACCTCCTTGATTCCTCTGCTTCTTTCCACTACATCATTCTGTCTCTCTCCATTCATTCAAAACTCTTACTTGGCTGCATATTTTTACTAAAAAGCTCATTCTGACATTATCAGCCTGGTTCTGCTCAACCATTCCTTTATCTCCCAGCTTTCCTCATAAGAGTGAGTCACAGCCCTAATACCTATTAATTTCCCACACATGCACACACTTCTAAAGAAAAGTCAATAAATGCTTACATAACCTGGGAGTGACATCCTCAAGTTATATAGTCTGCCATGCTTCCAAGTTCTGTGGCATAAATTATTAGGCAAGTTTGTCAGCAGTGATGAAGATTATCTATAATGTTTCATCCACAATCCTCACGTTAAAACTGCAGACATACATTTAAAAAGGGGGGAGGGGCAGAAGTGAGCAGCAAAGAGATGAACTGCAGAACTTTCTTTCATTTACCATATAAAAGAAATACTTAAAAGAATATGACCATGGTGGTCATCAACTTCACAGAATGCAAGTACCACCCCATAAAATGCTCTCGATGATATCTGGGAGGCTATCTTTAGGGAAATTAATTCTTTCTCCCCTAAAACTTAACCTAAATACTACAGCCACCACTAAATCTTCTACCTATACTATAGGTTTCATAACACATATGCCCCAATCACATTTCTTAACAGGTAGATATAGAAGAAGTCAGATTTTCCTCTCTAATTGTTTCAGGTGTATGCTTGTGTTGTCTCCCCAGTTACTCTGTAAGCAGCTCAAAAGCTGAGGTTGTCACCCTGACTCATTGCCCACAGCACCTAGGGTAGTGCTCTCAAATACTTATTGGCTAATTTAAAAGTAACATTAATACATCTGATGTCCAGTGTTGATAAACACTAGTATTACCTCCTAAGGCTTTAGGATAACTTTGCAGACAACTAAACTAATCCCATGGGTCTAGATGGAGACAGAAGAATACAGGATTTGAAAAATCCAATAGGTTAATTTGTCAAATTACAAATAAAGATGCAGAGAAATAGAGCCACAGTTTAAGGAATTAAATTCACTGGCTTCTTTTCCTGCCTGCCAAATTAAAACCCTACATAACTCATGAGATACTGAGATAGAACTAATCAAGTCTCTTCTTTGATAGTAGAGATGCAAAGTCTTTACACAGAAAGAAAAATTTAAAAACCACCAATGCTAGTTACATGCCAGCATAAATTGGCTAATTAAATCTATTTTTAATGCAACAAAGTAAAGGGAATAAAGAACAGTTACAAAAAATAAAATAGAATACCAACTGACCCTAGTTACAAACCTTTCATGAGGTAGAGGGAAGAAGCAAAATGTTAACACAACATAGAAAACTCTAGTGATTAATAACACAAGCTAATAACCAGAATGTAAAATGTGATTGTAATCCAAGTTCCAATGGGTGGCTTAATTATAAAACCCTCATTTAGGGGGTTGGGGTAGAGGATGTATTTTAACTTTCAATCTTAATAATATTTGAATAGTAAACATGTAAAAATACTGAAGGTATGTTGTAACTTGACATAGATTACAAGAAATATGAGTGAAAAAAAACTATCAAGTCCAGTGGTTTCACTTTCCACATCAAAGTTCTTCATACTACACATGAAATTAATGTCATTCCAGTTGGGTATTTCCAGACAGTGAATGACTGACAAAAAAAAAAAAAGTCAAGGAAGAGAGATAAACTGACTTGTCGGAAATGCCTGGCACACAAATGATAGAACTATCTGTGAAACTATCAAACTATAAAAAGAAGTTTGTATTTCCTTAAACTAGTCAAGCTATAGAAATGCAAAGTCACCTGCACTAACTGCCCTAAACACAAGAGTTCATGTTGCAGCAGCAGTTTCTCAACTTGTCCCTTCCCTTTACTTGCTTGTAATGATCAACCTTTTTTTCCCCTGAAGACTAAACTATAATTCTTGACCACATAAAACATAACCGCTTATGCCTGTTCGATCTTTTCCGTCCAGTGAAAATGCTGGGTTTTGTGTTAGTCTGTTAACATTCCTCAGGTGTGTAAGCATACAAATGAAGGGAATTTTGATTACTATATCAAACTAATTTTTCTGTGCTCTGAGGCAACTTTAAGTCTTTCTTGTCCTTATCTTTCCATTTTGATTTGAGGGAAATCAGTATTTGGACAGTGTCTCTGTGTAAGGTATGATTGGCTCCTCCCTTCTCTGAAAGTGAATCCTATTGATTCATATTTAAGGAGTTTAGCAACATTGACCTCTTGTATAGAGGTTGTTGTATTTTTTTAACCAGCTTTACTACTTGCAAATCTCTGTGATTCTTGAAGAAGTGCTATATAGACGTGCCCCTTTAATATCACTGTAGTGGAAAGGAAGCAGGTTACAGAACACATCCTCAAGTGTGTAACACTTCATTCACAGAGATTTTCTCCCAACCGAAAGAACTTTATGCAAATCTATTTTTGCTCATTGGCATTACTACTTGTGGAAGGAGAGGGGACGCTCAGGAAGGATTCCATCCTACACAATTTAGACCCTAAAATAGCCTTTGGTCCTCTTTCATCCTAATTTGCTTCAGAAAGCAACACCACCCACTTCTCACTATTAGAGTGGCATCCACTGAGGTCAAAACAGAACTTTAAAGTACACACTAAACTTTCCCCAACTACACAATCTCCTGAGAAAGTTCTGCGACTTCACTAAAAGAGAAAGAAAAAAAAAGTTTATTAACTGAAACCTAAAGAATTGCATTCCCTCTGCTGTTACTCATTCGAAAACTGTAAAATTTTCCTTACCCCAGTTTACTCCTAACTCCCTGGAGAGTAAAACCTGGGAGAGAAAAGATCAGATTCAATCCAACAAACACTCTTGGGAACCCAGCAAAGACACACACACACACACACACACACACACACACACACACACACACACACAC